ATTAAGACTTGTTTGAGATGTTTAACTCAATGGTAGATTTTGTAAGTCCTAATTTGAGACTTTCCATAGTCGAAACTCGAATTCTGGTAGTCTCAAATTAAGACTTTTTTGCGATTGTTAAGTGGAAGAATCGAGTTGAAGGTCTTATACCGTGAGATTTGTGAAAGTCGAAAGTTGGATCCTGAAAGTCTCAAATTAAGACTTGCTGGAGATGTTTAAAATAAATGGTAGATGTTGTAATGCTGGAGATGTTGAGACTTTTAATAGTCGAAACTTGAATCCTGTCTGTCTCAAACTAAGACTTGTTTGAGATCGACAAATTGAATATTAGAGTTGACTTGACTTTTAACTTAAGACCACATAAAGTCGAAAGTTGAATACGAAAAGTCTCAAATTAAGCCACACATACCTCAACGCCAAAAATCATCTTGATATTCAGTTAGATTGCAGCACTACAAGTGAGATTTCACGGGTGTTGAATAATTTCAATTAAATATTTCCCGCCGTGTGGATTCAGCCGCCACTTAAAACGGATTAATATCGTTAATGGCCTCCAACAATCACCCATCAATCTCCACCAGCATCAACAGATACGGACAAATGAACTACCTAATACCTTAATTTCATTGCAATGCACCGTGGAATGCCAATATCATTGGTAGAATTGGTCATGTTGGATGAGGATTAACGCTCTTCGGTCTCTCCGCCCTTCGCCTGTCCCTTCCGCACCCTCAACTTCCTCAGTCACGAGGTCAGAAACTAGGGTGGAATCAACCCTTAGTCCAACGCACAACTAGATAATGACCACATGTGGATTATGGATATGGTTGTAACCGATAATGTTCACTTTGCGGAGAGCATCCCTTAATTCTACTACCAATAGCCCCAAACGAGTTGCGCGTAAATTCCCACATCACCAACTCCCAGTCATTATTTTAAACCAACTTGTTAATTAATTTAACCACTACCCCCTTATCGCTGCTGCAAGAAGTCACATCTCATTTCCACTTGCGATTCGAGGAATCGAGTGAGATGGGTTCACGAGTTGCAGAAGTAAATATCACGGACAGTAATTACTAATTAACGCGAGCTAATCTCTCAACAGTTATTTGTCGATTCCGATACTTTTGCTTACGAATGGAAGCTTTGTAATCGTTCTATTTTTCGATTTCCTAATTTTCCTTGGAAATGATGTAGAATGGTCTGAAACGTAAAAATACGAAGTTTGACCACCGTGTTCATCTGGTGGTCACGTTTTTGAAAATTGTAGAATTAACCGGCTCAAAAAATTCAGAAAAA